GGGCTGTGGACGAGGAGCTTAATGGCCAAACTGTCCCTGAGTATTTTCTTAGGTTTTATTTGAAGTTATCAAAGTGTTTAAAGTATTTAAATCAACTAAATGTGTTTTACTTTCAAAAAAGAAGAAGAAAGAAACAGTATTGAGGGTTTTTCTTCACTGGGTCAGTGTCTGGCTGCACTGGATGCAACTCAGGGGTTAGAAGAAGGATGAAGTCACTTAATGATGCTACATTTTCTATTCCAGGAAGGGAGCAAAATATTGAAAAAAAAAAACTGATAGAACCAACAAAACAAGAGTTAAAATAGAAAATTTCATCCAGTTTTATTTTCTCCTTGAAAGCAAAGGCAGCTTTTATTCTAATCAGTTCATTCATTTATAACCCGGTGTGCTGCTATCTACAGTTATTCCACTAGGAAAGGATTTAAATATATTTTGGATCTCAGTGTTTACGTGAATGGACAGCAAATATTAGTCTTCATAATCCACAGAAAAAATAATGACAGATCAGGTATTGTTTTCTTAATTTATACACGTGCGCGTATCCGTCTGTAATAAAGAAAAATCCCTCTGGGGTCACACCAGGAAGAATTCCAGCATATTAATAACCATTTGCTGCGGCGAACTCTTGTTTATAACGCAGCTTAGAATAAAAAGCTTAACTTCTGTAATTAGAAGCCCCAAATTACTCTGGCACCTCCAAAATCAAAATCCTGGCACTTCGCCTGACAGATGCTACTACATGCCTCACAATGAAAACGTACACTGCTGTGCAGCACGGTTAAATGAGAGAGGAAAATATCTGACTAGTCCAAAAGTGTGAAGACTTAAAATTGGGTTAAAAAATCGGCGTATAATAGAAAAGAGGTCTTGCTAACTACTAAAACATCTTTGTTTCAATAGTTAGCTGCTGACTAACCAGGACGCCAACTTTTAATTTGTAGAGTCAAGTAGTAGAATCGATTCCCTGCCTTCTGGAGAAGCTTCATTAATTATTCACCTTTTACAGTTAGATTACCAACTCTGAGACTATGTTTGTAATACTTTGTGATCTTCCCTGTAATAAGTCAGATGTTCTGACTGCCAGTTAAAAATCCAAATGAACAGTTTTTGAGGAACATTAATTTGCAGGATGAACAATCCAATAGAGAAACAGGCAAACGTGCAGTAAACACTTCAGAAGGTTGCACACGAGGAAACATGAAAGCTGGCTGCAAAGCTTGAGTAACAAAAAGGAGAAAAGAAAGGAAAACATCTGCAGGTATGAATACTGAGGACACTAATCCAACCCACTGAAGTGTAAGAAAAAACGAGATTTCAGAATAAAACAGGAAGCAGAACTGAATAATCAGTTCTCCAAACATTAAAGAAATGTTCTTCCACACTTCTATTACCTCCTTTAGCAGAGGATACACTGGAGCATCCTTCATGAGATGGAAAGAAGATAATTAAATTCCATAATAGCAGCACACCCTCTGACCAGGAAGAACAAATAAAAAAGTGGGACAAATC